CTGGTTATATGTTCTGAATATATGCACGAAAAAACAGGAAATAGTAAATTATTATGCTATAACTGTAGCGTTATGTCAGTCAAGGTAGTGACACCCTACATGTACCTTATTTAAAAGTTGAATGCATATTATAATATGAGATTATGAGGATACTGCAAACAGGAGTATCAACTGATATGCAGCGGAGGTCGATGTGACCACATACTGTCTAAGTGCTTACTTTGCGGTATCCATGTAATAATTATACATCTTTTCCTCCCAAGAAAGCATCATGATAATGCCGAAAGATTAAGCAAACTTTGTGCTGGGGGCTGCCATATTTGTTTTCATTATTAGAGGACGCTTATTTGGATTCACGTTTCCTAATATGCGAGGATGCAAATACCCAGTGTAATACGGAAAAGTTATGGCATTACGGTGACAGACGTATAATAATACATATACTACGGTATTCTCATAATAGCCTCTTGACATTAACACACAGCACCATCTTATCATGTGAATACATGACAAGACACTTGGCATGATAGGCCTAAATACTATGAGTCATATGCATAACATGTTTCTATTTCCCAGGGAAGTTCCATGGCTGCTACATTATACATTGTAGGAGGGTTGATTTTCCAACTGATCACAAATAGAATGTCATGTTTGTGTGCTGTCCCCAAGAAATGTTTTACAGTTATGTATGGATAACAAAAGGGTATACATTGTAATTTAGATTTTGTCTCAATTGATTTTTAGTTTATGAATGTAAAAATGTTTTCTATGTTTAATGAAAAGTTCATGAGCTTTTAAACGTGGATGATTACAATATGGAATCAACATGTGCGGTACAAAAGTGAAGTGTAGAGTATAGTAAAATAACTGCCTAAAACGGTGTATTTCTGCTGACAGAAGTGAAGCTACGTTCACTTTGCATGTATGGTATATGCAACCAGGGAACTCTTCTATTGGATTTGGCCAGAAATGATACATTAGGAATGGAACTAACAAACTGTTTTCTGGTACACCATCCCTGAATGTGTAAACTAATCAAGTCCAACTGTTTCTGAGTATACAGCATTTCTAATACAAACAAACAAATCACAAAATTAACCTAAAACACTAAAAAATAGGTTGTACATTTTAGTGATGCATATCTATGAATACCAGGTAATCTTGTTGTCAGAAGTCACAATACATAGCACATTATATATCTAATTGCAGGAAAGCCAGTCTATGACGATCTAGAAGAGACTTAGATAGAAGTTTGAGCTGTTCAAGCAAGTTTTTGCAGCACATTCTAGTTTTGTTAAAACATGTGTCTGGTTAACATAGGGCTTTGGTTTTAAAAGGTTTTGTTTTACATGGATCAGAAAGGTTACTGGTTTACATTGAGTTTCAGTTTAGACAAGTTTCTGGTTTATAGGGTTGGAGTTCAAGGCAAGTTTTATTGCATTCACGGTAAGAGGAGTTTATTATCGGCCTTCAGACATGCCAGCATGTGTTTTGGCCAATCAGCACTCTGACACTTTGCACTGCAATATGACTGCTTTCCACACAATGTGCAATCTATATGAGATACAGCACCACAATGACAGAAGAATCGTTCAGCAGCTGAAAAAAAAAATAAGAAGAAAAATTACATACTTCATGCAAGATGCAAAAGATGTTGGGAACAAGATGCTTGTTTCATTTCCATTGTACAAGTGCTGACTACACAAGAACATTCTTTAAATGTGATCTCAATTAAAAAGTAGTAAAGGCTTGTGCCACTACGATGCATACTACCTTATTTGGAAGTAAAATTTCCATACAAGGAGAGTGGTTGCTGTGTGACTCACCAGAATCAGGAAGCATCTTCAGCATAATACAGTCACCTCCGTAGATCTCAGATACAACAACTTTCCTCTCTTTCACAGTTTCTAGAACATTCAAAGTTTCTTGCAGAAACACAAACGGCTTTCCTTTCAGTTGGCTGGGCAATGCTTTGACAAGTTCCTTCCTCAGTCTGTCCATACTGCCAGACAAATTCACCACCACATTGCCAAGTCTACTGAAGGAGTGAACACCACTTAATGCAATAACAGTCATGCTTTCATCAACATCCAGCTCTATGAAAAGAAAATATAAATACACAATGGTATCAACATTGACAAGATGGATACAATGTAAATTTATTAATATGTCTAAACTGATTTTTATTATAATACATGGTAATACAGGGTTCAACATAAGGGCATCTCCACCCGATCAATACAGTCAGATTGACTGGGACAAAAATCTGACAAGTGGGTCTTGAGATATCTGAGGAACAGCAAACAATTGGTTAATTTATGTAAATTAGGTAATCAGCCTGTACGGATTCAACCTGCACTAACTAAGTATTTGCATTATCCACAAGCATCTATTCACCAAATATAATTTCAATTGGCTAATTAGGTAATGACCAGAAGACGTGGTGGAACCAGGTTGCAGAAACTCAACTATAATAGTCCAAGATCTGAGTGCATGTGTTAGAACCAAATCAATATGAACCAACAGACACATTTCTATGCATTGAAACTTACCACTTTCCTGATTACCAGATGGTGTGGCAGAACCAGGTGGTAGTGACTCCACTATGATAGTTGGAGATCTGAGTGGAGTGTTAGAACCAGATCGCGCAGACAGGGCACTGACTGGTCTGCTTGATAGGTTTATGTTGTCAAAGTCATCTTGGGTAAATCTATAACAAACACAATATTAGATTAGAATCAACTCAATTATTATACTTTTCATCAATGTTGTTTGAAGCAGAAAGATTATTTCTGTGATACTGTGAAGTAATTATATGTCTGTATTACTTTATCGACTGATGTGTGTAAAAAAAGTGAATGCACTGGTAGAAAGTAGAATAAACTGCAATTATAAAATTTTTAGTCCGAGTCCAAGTGTTATTCTACCCACACATCAAAATTGCGCCAACAATGACAGTGTCAATCTTTTTTTTTTCAGTGATGATGACAATCTGTACTTACTCATACATAGTGTTCTGTCCATTGATATTAACAGCTGGTGTTTCAGGTGTACTTAATGCTATACCAGATTCACTGCTATTTTCACCCAGAAATCTTTCAGAAATTGGTGTCTTATCTGTTAATGGCATTGATTCAGCATGCACCAAACTTTTGCTGCCTGTTCACACACAAGATAAACACATAAACATCAATAGTATTCAAAAGCATACATTGTTCGCTTCCTGCATACTTGTACATGATATTACCGTAAAATCTGCATTAGAACCAAATCCCTAATATCCCTAAAAGTCGCACCCATTTTTTTTGAATAATTGAGAACCCAAAAATTCACCATTTCTCAATAGAAGCCACATCTCCTCTGTTGGATTGTACCATTTTAATAGAAGCCACGACTTGGCTAACACAGATTTTACAGTACTATGATTGCTCCATGCTCAGTTATTCGGAATTGCTGTATCCCCATGCCACTATACATACAGAGCCCCTAACTAAGGAGTAAACAAAGATAATCAAATTATATTTTTTTTTTTACTTTATTAACCCTAGTATTATTTAATCAGTTTTAATGCAGAGTACCAATTGGCAAAAACTATGAGCGTATTTATGCAGTATCGCCATAGGAACAACATTGTTTTAGTTACATAACATACTATTCGAAGATAATAGTACTTTTTGGGGATAGAAAGAATTAGGTCCATTCTGGTATCATGCAAAGGTTTTGTTTTTGTCCCTGTCATTCAATAGTAAACACAACTTAAACCAGTCAGTCATTTTTACATAGAACTTAAAATGATATACACATATGTGTGAAGTTTTATATGATCTGTTAGGAAATTGTTGAAATGCTTGATTTTTATATATTTTAAGCTTAAATATAGACAAAATTCAATTCTGGAACAGCATTCATTGACACAAAATATCTACCATTTTTAATCTGATTTGTAAAACATATTGGCATGCATCAAGGTCCCATAATTTATGTCTAATATCCAATTAAAATTATTTACCATTATACTTTCAAATTGATTCTACTCATTTATCAATGATGCACTTCACATACATACAGTTTTTAGTGGAGAAAAAAACAGATTGTACTTTATAATAAGGATCAAACACATAGCATATGAGAATTTTTGGGTTAACATTAAAGTAAGTTTTCATGACTCAATATCTGAGTGTTTTTTTTTTTTTTTTAGGACAGATAAATACACCAATAATACAAACAGCAATAAACATACCTGAGTGTTGTTTTTTGTTCACAAGACAGATACACACACCAATAACACAAACAGCTATAAAACCAAACACACTGGATAAAATAATGACCAATAAATAAGATTCTGATAAAGTCTGGAAAGGGGAAGAAAAAGCAATTGAATTATTATCTGTATTATGACATATAGTTGTCAAAATTTCAATAATTTAATATGTATGGTATTGTTTTTGGTTACCACAAAATTTGTCAATAAACACCTAATAGCAAAAGAAAAACTACAAGCAGCCTATCGGCTGAGATAGCTCCGCTGTTAGCAATGCACATTTCAATTAAAGAACTGAAGACATCATTAGAAAATGAACAATATGCATAGTATCAATGCAATGGGACTTACAGTTTTTAACAAGAAGTCGAAAAAATTACTTTCTACCAAAAATGAAAAAATATTCACCAAAATTAGAAAATTGAAGATATCATCACGAAATGAACAAATCTGAGAGAGGTCCACATGTAGTACCTATATATGTAATATCAAAGCAATTGAACTTTTGGTTTTAACAGTCGAAAATATCACTTTTT